ACAACACACAACACACACTTAGCTGCACTTGGATATTTTGAAATGCGACACATTTGAAAATCTGCATGGCTAGTCAAAGGAGTTGGGCCAGTTACCTCCTCCAGCCGCACCACCGCTCTGCTGCCCCTTTTGTAGTGCTCTCTAGAGGCATCTTCAGCGGCAGCCAATCGAGTAGCTCTCAAGTAAGACTCGCATGCGGCCGCCCCCTTTGGGGCATGTGGCATATTATATGTGTATCTATTTATATATCTAAATATATATATTTATATGTGCATATTGGTATATAAGGGAGGTGTATGCATATTGTATTTTCAATTTTATTCTGTGGCATTTTATTATATTTTTCACTTGATACATTTATGTATGCAACAAAAATTTGTTTGCATTCTCCCTTGAGTTGTCACGCACAAAGGCAGAAGTAAATTGTTTAATTTGATTTCATTTTGTGAGCTCTTGCGTCATGCACTCTAAATGGGTTTTTACATATGTGTTAGTGTGTGTGTGTGTGTGTATCTGACACGCCCCTAATAGCCATATATATGTGTGTGCATTGCAATTCTCTGGCCATCAAATGACTCAATATGCGCCGCCCTCGTCAATTTGCTACACATTTAATTGCGTTTTATTTTTCAAATATTTATTATTATTATCGAATATTGAAACGATATCCAAATGCGAATCCAGACACACACCACACCCCCTGTGTGTGTGTGTGTGTGCTCGACATGCAAGAACTCTCTATACATATTATATATAATATATTTATATATATATAGAGTTAGATCCAACAATGTTTCCCTGACACGCGATGTGCCGTGCCTTTAAACCTTTTACACTTTCAACCCCATCCTGCTCCTCCTGCTCCTCCTGGCAATGGCTTTCGTCACGGATTCCGAAAAAAAATCTGCGTTTCTAATCCGGTACGGGTGTGCTTGGATTAAGTGTCAATCTGCCTCGATGCGATTGTATATAAATTAAGTAGTTTTCTCTACTATTTGGCAACCTAATTTCGATTTCGATTTTGTGAGTTTCACTGTTTTAGCATTAGTTGTTTTTAGCATATTTTTAGTTGATTTGTGTACATAGTTATTAATGCTTGCCTGCCTGTCTCACTCATATCAATATATATATATAACTATAATCTATATGTGTAATTATGTATTTAATCAAGTTCCTTAAGACAAACGAATTGGCAACAAATCATATTTATTCTGTGTCTGGTTAGTAAAAGCAATTTCAACTGTTAGAACTGAATGTTACCCTCGCAACAAAAAAAACCCTAATATAATTGGCACTATATATAAATAATCAATTAAGAAATCCACAAAATATGTTATGAAAAATGAAAAAAAAAATGAAAAAGAAAATACTAAATTGGAATTGGCAATTGGCAATTGGCAGTCGGGGGACTCAAATTCAGTTCTGCTGTTCTTGTTGTTGTTGCTGCTGCCAAATTAACTCACAGCGTTTGTAAGTGTTTGCAGAAATACACACACACACACACACACACATATACACACACGCAGACACACAGACACATACAGCAAAATTGGATCTAGAAATATTATTACCTTTCTACACTGATTTCTGATTTCCAATTGAATTCCTTCCCCAAACCCCATAAACACATCGCTATTAACTGCCAACTAAAACAGGCACATTCCTGAGCACACAGCAGTCGGCAGTTGTCATCAAGCAGGAGGCGATGGATGTGGCCAGCGAGGAGCAGCCGCATGAGGCACATGCCGCCGATCGTCAGCCGACTGCCAGCAAATTGGCCAAGTTAATGCAACGACCGCAGCTGGCGCAACTATTCGAGCGACGCAACAACAACAACAACAACAATAACAATATTAGACACAACAACAACCACAACAATAACAACAGCAGCAGCAGTGGCAACCATCTGCGCAGCATATTTAAAAAGAATCGCTCCTCGAATTCATCGCCAACGCCTTCGGCGCGCTCCTGGAACGATAGCGAGGATGAGCCGGCTGATTACCAGCAGGATGAACGCTCCAGTTCGGCCTCATCGGCCATTTCATTGACCATGAAGCGTTCGTGCCAGGCCAGCGAGTCCCAGCTCTACCAAACGTTGCAGCAACATCAGCAACAGCAGCAGCAGCAACAGCAGCAACACAAACAGCAACAGCAGCAGCAGCAACAAAGCGAACATCGCCCGCAGCAGCTCAACCAGCAACAGCAGCAGCAACAGCAACAGCAACAGCAACAGCAATATTTGGATGAACTGCAGCAATCGGTATCGGTTTCGCATCAGCAACAGTTGACTGCCAATCTTTTTATGGCCCGAACGATTGCTTTGAGTCGCTCTCGCGATTTTCCGGAGCTCTTTCAAAACACTTCGGCTGCCGCTGTGGCAGCAGCAGCAGCAGCCGCAGCCACAGCCAGTGCCACGGCCACAGCCGTTGTCGTTGGCAGCAGCAACAACTGCAACAGTAGCAGCAGCAACAACAATAACAACAACATCAATAACAACAACATCATCAGCAGCAGCAACAGCAACAGCTGTCACAACAGCAACAACAACAGCAGCAACAATAGCAATTATATGTTACCCTGTCCGCTTTGCGAGACGCCGCTGGAGCAGCGTGTCTTCCGTCAGCATCTGGATCGGCATTATCCACGTGACAGTCCCGTCTGTCCGGTGATCGAATGTGGTCGTCGTTTCGCCCATCCGAATTCGGTGCGCAATCATATGCGGATCAAGCATACGCTTCAATGGGCCAAAATGAAGGCGATGCGCAGCTCGGGCGGCCCCTTTGCCGGCGGACCCGACTTCAAGTTCAAAAGCGAGACGGCCAACTAGTTGCCGCCCAGCCAACATCAGCTGGTGCAATGCGTCCGCAGATATTCGCACTCGTAAAAATCAAAAAGCTTTCTAGTTTTGCAAGCTGCTGCGACAATAATTCCGAAGCCTAAACTCGAGACACTCGCGTCTATCGTAGATAGCCAAAACAAAACCAAAAAAGAAAAACCAAAAAAAGAAAAACCAACAAAAAAAAATATAGTTGAAGCCCAAAAATCTTCCAGCAGTAATGTCGCCTAGTATTAATTTCCAATATTGTTTGCCAGTTAAAGGTTTCATTTCGAGTGAAAAACTTTAAGCAAATCTATAATCCATTTTTCTATATACACACAAAACAGATTTTATTGTTTAGTTAGCCAGGTCTAAGCAATACCTGTTCTAGTTTTCCATTTCGTAAGCATTTTTACCTGGGTTTTTAGCTAGATTTTGAAAGATAATTAGAGCTTGAAACAACTATTGCTGAATACACATTCCGAATATTTGAATTCAATTCAATTCAATTCAATCAATTTGTTATTTTCTTGCTTGGGACTTCGACAGCGGTTTTGAGAATGTTGTCTGCTGTTAACGATAAGAAGCTGGCATACAACAATTATTACGTTCCTATATATATTCAATATAGTACATATACAGATGATATACTATATTAAGGAGTACATAAAAATCGTACTTCCACTACTACTGTGTATGTGCAAGGCTAGAGATACTACACTGTAAAAAACCAAACCAAAATGATTACGATAATGTTTGCATGGAATAATAAAACCAAACCAAATAAAAATAAAAATACACCCGTCAAAAAAATACTACTAGAGCCATAGGAATGTGCTACTTATGAGGCGTAGCAGAGCTGCAAGTTAACTGTAATTTAGTAAGAGAGAGAGGTGTGCTTGGACAGGGTATGGCTAGGACTAAATATACCCCATATACCCTACAACTAACTAACTAGTTGGCACCAGTAAACTAGTAAACTCGTAACTACAGTATTATACGTACTACTACATAGGAAAAAAAAGCAAACACAACACACACACACACACACCCAACACACACACACAACACACACACACAATTTATATAGTTTAAGCATAATCCAAAAAATATTAAATTGGATATATGTATGTGTAGATAATGAGCTGAATACCAAGCAGAAACAATTATAAATAGTTATTAAACAAAACATAATTGTAATGATACTACAAAATAGAATGTGCCTGCGTAATATATTTTTAGCCAAAAAAATAAAAAATAATAAAATAATAATAAAATAAATAAATAAAAAAAAACAACACAAAGTTGAAAACTCACACACACACACACACACACAATTAAACAGATAGAAGGGAAGAATTTGCAATTTTATTAGAGAAAATTCCAAAAAATCGAAAAGCTCAAAATTGTCGATTATAATTAATTTTTTTGTTTATGTGTAGAGAGCTATGGAAAGAGATAGCAAGATATGGAAAGAGATGGAGATTGAGCGAAAAACATACGTAAAATGGTTCCTATAATGTTAATCAAAAAAAAAAAGCGAAAAACCAAAAACTAAAAATCTAAAACTAAAATACAAAAAACAAAAAAAAAAAAAACAACAAAAAAAAACTCTTGACTAAACTGCGAGTTTAATTTAAATATAGACGATCCACAGATCCACAGCAATTTAGTGAATATTGCATTCAATTTCGAGACGGACAATTTTTCGCAGTTGTGTAGCCCATACAGAAACCAACAAAATACTATATAACTTAACTCGTAATAAACCTTATGTATAATTTACAAAAGAAACATTCTTTTAGTTGGCCAATTGTTTGGGGAATACGTAGCTCATATTAATGTATCTTCAATTTATGTACTCGACTCGACTCGATGAGGCAATTAATTCTATATATATATATATATATTATATATACATCTATTTTGGTTAATAATAAAGAGCAAACGAAGAAAAGTCGAGCGAATGGATTTTTGTTTTCAATTGAAACAATCAGAGCTGAAAAACTATTAAAAACTAAATTTTTTGTATTTATTGAAAAACTAAAACCAATTTGAACGAATAATTTTCCATTAGTCAGCAGTAATTCGATGGGGTTTTTCAGCTCTTGTTTGCCGGGTATTGAAAATATTTGCTTTAATTAAATAATAATTTCAATTATTTGTGCAATTCTTTTCGCAGTCTCGCGTCGTACGCTGGAAATGCGTGTGCGTGCCACCGATCCGCGACCGTGCCCCAAATGTGGCAAAATCTATCGGTCGGCACACACGTTGCGCACCCATCTGGAGGACAAGCACACTGTCTGTCCGGGCTATCGTTGTGTCCTGTGCGGCACGGTGGCCAAGTCACGGAATTCGCTGCACTCGCACATGTCGCGCCAGCATCGCGGCATCTCCACCAAGGATCTGCCTGTGCTGCCGATGCCCAGCGCCTTTGATCCGGATCTCGCCTCGCGGCTGCTGGCCAAGGCCGGCGTCAAGATATCACCCGCTGAGCTGCGCGCCCGCGCCTCCCCCACAGGCGGCAGTGGCAGCAGCGGCGGCGGCGGCGGTGGCGGCGGCAACGGTGGCAATGGCTCCCATAAGCTGGACCTCAGCAATGCCAGCGGCGGCCCATTGGACGATGGCGAGGATTCCGATGATGATCCCGAGGATCTGACCACCGGCAGCATGCTCTATGGCGTCGGCGGCAGTGCCAGCGACCTCAGTCGCTACCACGAGAGTCTCCTAAGCAATTTCGGACATGCGAACACAACCATTTCGCGGATGCGAAACGAGGCAGCTGCAGCTGCTGCCGCAGCAGCCATGGGCCAGCAGAAGGATTTGGGCGCTGCCGCCGGCGGCGTTCAGCTGGCCAACAGCAGCAGCGCTGGACAATCGCTGCTGGACACCTATCTGCAGTTCATCACGGAGAATACGTTCGGTGAGTGACAAACCCCCACTTGTTGTATACCCCAACTATCAATGGATCTCTTAATTTGTCCACAAAGCTGGCAGTCGACATCTGAATCAACATAAAGTATTTATTTTCATTCTTGGTTAGCCTTATCTGAAATACTTGCCTTCTTCCAGTCTCTCGATTTTGAAACTAATCTCAAAATTATTTTACTTTAACTAACTTGTTATATATACAGAAGTTGGTCGTGTAAACTGTCCAGTTAAAACAATATAGATAAATAGATGTTTAATTTACTTTAAAATCGACTAGGACATAATTTAAATATAATTTTAAGGAAAACGATAAAAAGTTTGACAATTTCCTCTAAAATCGAGTAGAACAAAATTGGAATAAAATTTTTAAATTACCTAAATCATATAAGTTGCAAGTCTTCTAAGTATTTCCACAATTTCAATTCTTTCCTTACAAGTTAAATAAATATTTTATCTAATTGCTGGATCGTTTTCTTAAAAAATTAAAAATAAAATAATATTAAAGATTACTTACATTTTGAGATATTTATTCGGCTTGTTGTCTTCAACGGATCGTTCTATGCAATATATAAATGATAAATTTAAATAGATACATTTTAAAAAATAAAGTTATAATTTATTACAAAATATTAAATGTCAGACATATTAGGCACATTCGGCTCTTTCTCTTATATATATAAATATACATATATATAAATATATATATATTTGTATATGCAATCAAAAGAAAACTAATTTCTTCAATACTAAACTCATATCTTGTCTCTTTTGTAGGCATGGGCATGTCGCAGGAGCATGCCGCTGCAGCCGCGTTGCATGCCGCCAAAATGGCGCAATTGAATGCGATGGGTCACAGTCTGGACAAGTTGCCGGCTGGCCTGCTGCCCGCCCAGTTCGATCTGAGCAAGCTGACGGGCGCATCAGCTGCCGGTGGCTATGGCCAGGGCAGCGGTGGACTCTCTATTGAACCGATACTGAGGCGTGACCAGCAACAGCAGCAGCAGCAGCAACAGCAGCAGGGAGGCAGCTTATCGCCGAATGCAAATGGAGCGCTGGCGCTCAGCACGGTGGGTCACATGCATGCGAACTTGGTGGGTGGCGTTGGCATTGGCATTGGCGATGAGGCGGCTGATGAGGTCGACGTCGATGCCGATGCGGATGCGGAGGCGGAGATTAGGCGCGACGGTTCGGAGCCAATGGATTTGGGCCTGAGTCTGGACAACAATCAGTCGGGCAGCAACAATGAGGCAGCCAATTCGGATGCCGAGGACAATTACTCCGAGGATGAGGGTGTTCATCACACATAAAGAGCAGCTGGAAGAGAGAGCAAAAGATATACTAAGCACATATATATACATATTTAGATATGTATGTGCAACTCGATCGTTTTTGAAGAGTCGTCAAACAGTTGTATACCCCACAAAAAAAAATGGAACATTTGTAACGAGTAGCCTTATCCTCATGTATACCAGTTTACGTGTACAATATACATATAGTATATATACTAAATGCATACGATAAATATGATAGTTATATAGGTATCTAGAAACCGAATCATGAACTAATATCATGTGCTGCGTTTGCAACAATTATTGTAGAATTTATGTTGTGCTTTTAAAAGAAACAAAAACAAAAACAAAATGAGAGTAAATAATCAACTTACCTAAACAGATACTCGTATGTGAGTTAGATGCCTAGATACTTACACACACACACACACACACACACACATACATACTTATCCTATATACATATACATACTACTTCTATACACATGTACCTGTTGTGTGTATACATGCAGTTTAGGATGTTGCCGAACCAAGACAAATTCAAAAATCATTGAAGAACTCATACTCCAAAATACCTAAAGCTAAACCTAAACCTAGAGCCTAGACCATGTAAGTTAGTGTTAACAAACATTTTTGCAAATGAGTCAACAATTCTCTGTAAATAGTATCTAAATTGTTGTAGAAGATACGCACCCAAAAAACAAAAAACAAAAAAAAAAAAAACAAAAAAAAGAAGAACAAGAAGCATTTAAACGGACAGGACGAATACTCTTTTAAAAGGCGTTTATATATATTTTTATCCGTCTCAGTTTTGAGAGTAACAAAGACAAATTCAGATGTGCCATGTCACAATTTATTAGAGCTTACACATGACTTTCTTTTTATGAAGACGAGCATATATATATATATATATATATATATGCTTACTAGCCGACCACTCAAGTTGTATTGTATTTATAATGTTACATAACCATATCTCAGGAATACACGGATAACCACCGCCGAAAACAACCAAAACTACCTCAGCAAAAAGAATTGTGTAATCCACTCGTACTCATTACTCGTAATTACATTCAGTTAAAAGTGAAAAGAAAAGAAATGAAAAAGCAAACACACACAACTACCTACATAAATATACATAACATACATATACATGCAAATATATTCGTTATGGCCGTACTTGCTTATACATACAGATTGCGTTCAGTGTAGTTTAAGGATCTATCTGCATTGGTTGGGTGCGCCAATAAATACATAGTCTGTAAATGTGAATCTAAGGATTTCCCCTTTAATTAGTCAGGCAATGTGTACATTTCATTATTATTTATGCGTTTATGTACAATAAAGTGAGATATGCATATATATTAACATATATACATATATATATATATATATATATATATATATAAAATACATACAATTAATAGGCACCAACACACTCACACACATACATAACTACATATGTATATTGTATGCTTAGCTATAATTACACGCAAATAAAACAAAAATACTGGGGTTAATGTAATAGAATCAGAAATACCTCAATATCTACATATATATATATACATATATATTTAGATCGCACACACTCACACACACACTTAAACATAACTTAAAAGGTTTCTCTCCGATTTCCCAATTTATTCAATGTAAATTTAGTTCGTTTTTATTATTGTAGGTTTAGTTTGTTAGTTTCAATATTGATGATGTGCACAGAGACTCTAAAAGAGTTGAAATCCCCACTTGCCTTATTACAACATGAATAAATGTGTTACTTTAGTAATTTTCTACCTCAATTAATTTAAATGTAATTTACTTGCATATTATTTAAGCGCGCAATTTTTGATATACTTATGTATTTCTTTTCGTATAGTAATTGTGTTAATTGGACAATTTCATCACGAGTCATCTCTAATATAGTATAAATTTAATGATTATGGAAATGCATAGTAATAAATTATATACTCATAAATAAAGCAAGATAATAAGTAAAGACAAGTATGTTAAATTTGTTTATTATCTCCCTGTTTCACATCGCCTCTGGCTACGTTTCTTTTGCAAACGTCTAATTACTTTAGCTATTTGTATTTTATTTGTAACTTAATGCCGAGTGCAATTGTTGCATCTTTTATTTTAATATACAAAATGCAATTGTGGCTAAACACACACATACACACACCACACCCACACACACCGACACATAATGCAGTTAAGTCGCTAGAATAAAATGAGTTAGTTAAATACAAGTTACATAAGCAATTTAAGTAGAGATCCATGTGCTTAGAAAGTTATTAATATTTATTAAAATTACAAATAAAACTGCGTTATGAAGAACAAGCAAAGTGTGTGTTTTAATACTGCAAAACGTTAAAATCGATATTAAAATAATAAATTTGAAATTTAACGGCCTGCTGGAGCTCATCGGCTGTACAGCGTGCTAGCCCTGCTGGCGATCGCATGCAGACGCAACAGTTCGATAAAATACGTCGAAAAGTAATCGTTATCGGTTGCGCTAAAGACGCTCGCTAGCTTGGCGTCTGATTGGCACATTTTAAAGAAGAAGCACAAGAAAGCGGTATTCGTTCGAATTAACTGTATAGAATTGTAATTGTATAGAAATCAATATTTCTTGGCGGAAAGTGTCGTTTAATTGTATTATATTATATATTTAACTGTATTTAACTGTATTTGTCTAATGTCTGCAAAGAGTGCCATCCAAGTGTGCATCAAGCTGCGTCCCTGCGAACCAGGAAATACCACATTGTGGCAGGTGAAAGACAAGCGCACAATTCAGCTAATCGACAGCCAAGCAGATCCCTGTGTTTTTGGTAAGCAACAACAGCAGCAGCAACAACAACAACACTCCAAGATGGCCGCTACTCAATGAATCAATTGTTCTTGCAGATTATGTATTCGATCAGGATTCGAACAATCAAATGGTTTTCGATTGCATGGCCAAGCACATCGTGGAGGCGTGCATTAAGGGCTTTAATGGCACCATATTCGCCTATGGGCAAACATCATCGGGTAAAACATACACCATGATGGGCGATGAGCGCAATCCGGGCGTCATGGTGCTGGCAGCCAAGGAGATATTTAATCAGATTGCCCTCTACGATGATCGCGAATTTCTGATACGTGTCGGCTACATTGAGATCTACAATGAGAAAATCTACGATTTGCTGAACAAGAAGAATCAGGATCTCAAGATACACGAGAGTAATGGGATGGTGCATGTGAATTGTGAGGAGTGCATCATTACCAGCGAGCATGATCTGCTCCAGTTCCTGTGCATGGGTAACAAGGAGCGCACCGTGGGCGAAACCAATATGAACGAACGTTCCAGTCGATCACATGCCATATTTCGCATTGTAAGCTATTGTAATACCTTTTATATATATATTTGACTATATGTTAGCTTCACGTATTGCATCTGCAGATCATTGAGTCACGTAAAACTGATCATAATGCCGATGATGCCGTCATTCAGAGCCTGCTAAATCTGGTGGATTTGGCCGGTTCGGAGCGAGCCGATCAGACGGGTGCACGGGGTGCTCGTCTTAAGGAGGGCGGTCACATTAACAAGAGCCTGCACTTTCTGAGCAACGTGATCAAGAGCCTGGCCGAGAACGAGGACAACAAATACGTAAATTTTCGCGACTCCAAATTGACGCGTATATTGCAGGCATCGCTGGGTGGGAACACGTTCACCTCGATTATATGCAGCATTAAGCCATCGATTATGGAGGAATCGCAGTCGACGCTGAACTTTGCAATGCGTGCGAAGAAGATACGCTTGAAGCCACAAATAAATGAGCTTGTATCGGATGCAACGATGATGAAGCGTCTCGAGCGTGAAATTAAGGAGCTCAAGGATCGCTTGGCGAAGGAACAGGAACGTAATGAAAGCCAGATCAAAGTCAGAGTTTTGGAGCAGAGAATCAAGAATGATACTCTGAAAATCATAACCGGCACTACAATTGCTGATAAACGCAATAAAAATCGCCGACGCACTTGGTGTCCGGCAACATCGCATCCGGAGGCAGCGACGGGAGAAGATTTGGCTGGGTCAGATGGTTCAAATGCTGACCAGCCCAAGCATTCGGGTCTACCAAAACCAAGTTTCTATCCATCGGGTTCGCATATAAGACACCGTGCTCTTAACGCACCCAAGACCATAAACATTATGAAATCGCTGGAAATCGAAGAGACTGACGAGGAATTCAATCCAGCCGTTGAGTTCGATTTTGGACCTGTCCCAAGCCCAATGGTTACCCAACGAATCCTGCCACCACTATCCTTAACGCCACGCGTGGGCGAAATTGAAGGGTAAGTTATCAAATACAGTAATTACTCTCGATTCACACAAATCATTTTCATTGCACTTTTCATGGTTGATCTCACATCTCATCTCATCCCATATATACCATATCTATATATGTAGTAAAGCAATGCATGTACGCGACATTACGGAGCTGAATACCTTCCTCGATCTAGAGCAAAACATAGCCTGCGAGTGGGAAGATTTAAGCGAAAAGTTTGCTGCGGCACAAGCTCAAATTGATGAGCTACAATCCGAGCGACTGAATCTAATGCAGCGGTGAGTTTAAGTCCTTATTGTCATGGGACTTCTAGGACTGAGTATATAAGCTAACTAAGCTAAAACTACAAATGTAAATGTCCTGACAGATCGAAAAATGTTGGATCTTGTATATTTCCCAAAATTGTTGACAGTCTTTAAACTTTCGAAATGCCGTTTATAATGTGAAGGTCGAGCTAAATTGTATGGCAAAGCTTCTGTCTATAGACTTTTGCTTATATTCATTAATATCTTTTGGTTTAATCTAATAATTGGCGACTCCAGTTTGGAAATTTAAAAATGTGTTCACCACTTCAGTTGCGCGTCGAAGTGCACAAAGTCAACACGTGGTAAACTTTTGTGTAAATCTCTTCTATTTTATCGCATAGCGATTGCTTCGCTTTCGTCTTTTCAAATCAGTTGCTGAGTACGACGTGAGTAAGCAAGAGCCAAATCGGCCGAGCCGAGAGCCGAATAATAAGACCCACTCAGACTCATATACGCAACACGCAATATTGTTGTTTTGTGCGTCGCTATGATAGCACCGGAATACAATACACCTAAACAATATTGCGAATAAATTTGGCACCTGACGTTCGACGGCTCGAAGACGTCTGACGACAATGCCAAATAACAAAAGTGAATAGTGATAAGCGATCTTCAATCGTTGTCGTCGATAAATTGTTGATTCCACTAATGTGGCCCTAAGGTTAATGTGCTTAATTTTACTTAACTTTGCTGTTGTTGTTGAACGCACTCCGTTTCGCTCCGCTCTGTCGCACACATTCAGTGTTCGATATCGTCTTCTTGGGTAGCTAGCAACTCCCAAATGCCCAGAGACGTGACTCTGATGTAACTCATAACGCAATTGAGGCCCCGCATCAAGCAAAAAAATAAATAAAAAGTTTGTGAGTAAAAATATAACGCATAAGTTCAAAGCAAATGCAACAATAAAAGCGCATTTCTTCCGTGTGTCTGTGTGTGTGTGTGTGCAAGTGTGTGTGTTTGTGTTTGTGTGTAGCTGTAGTCGTAGTTTCAACCTCAACTGGAATGCCGTCTGCTGCCGCTGCCACCATCTGCAGTCGGTTAGCAGCTGCAGTCTCTATTTTTAGGGAGCCTCGCTGGCCATAATTAATTGTCAAAATGGTCGTGCGGTGAACAAATTTGGGGCTGCAAATGCCAACTTGCAACTGCATTTTCAGCTGTGCCCATCCGCATTCAATTATGCACTAGATTATAGATAAAGTGAAGCTCTAGAGTAGTGTTTCTGCCCATGTATGTGTCTATAATCGAAAATAGCTATTAATCCGAATTAAAGCATTAAATAACTGTCTCTTTTTACGCTTACTACTTGTAGCTGCGAAGATTTTGATAGCCTGACCGAGTCGAAGCTGGCTGGTGATACCAAAATCGAGGCATATGAGGAGCAGCTGCAAACGTTGAAGCAAACCGTTCAGCGACTGGAAATGGAAAATCGTTTGGCTGTCGACTTGGAATTTCAGTTTGAAAACCACAAATCGAAGTCAAAGCGGCGGGAGGAGGAGCTCTTGGCGGCCATCTCAGAGAAAGATGGCGCCATCGGTGGCCTGCAACATAAGCTCGATGAGTTGTCGAGGGATGTGCTGCGCAACAGCAAGGAGGATCACATGCTTTCCATTTGCCCCGAGATCGAAACCAATTGCGAGAGCATTTGCAACAAGTGCGCAAATCTCGAGCGTCTGCTGGAGGAGCACAAACAGACGACAGCCAATGTGGAGGGGACCCAGTCGATTGATTGTGAATGCGAACAGTTGCGTGTGGAAATCGCCAAGACACGGGCACAGCTGGAGACCGTCCAACTGGCGTACAAACAGGTGACCAGCGATGTCGCGGAGAAATCGCAGCTCTGTGATCGTCTGGGTCAGGACTTTGTGGCCGCCGAGGAGGCCAAGGAACTACTCCAGGATAAATGCAATATTCTCGAGGAGACGCAACAGCAACACAATCAGATCCTGCAATCGATGCAGGCCAAATATGAGGCCATGCAAGAGAAGTATGTGAAATTGCAGGAGGATTATGAACGCCTCGAATCGATGCAGGAGAAGTATGTGCAATTGCAGCAGGACTATGAGCTGCGTGAATCCAGTCAAGAAAAGTATGCGAAACTGCAGCAGGATTATGCCCAGCTCGAAAGCCAAAACGAAAGTTTGCAAGAGGAAATCCGAACGCTGAAAACATCTATGCAGCAGATTCAAGAAGAACTCATGCAGACTGCAACGGCAACAGCGAGCACAGCCGAGATCAACGATGCACTTGTACAGCAGTTGAGGTCGCGCAACGAGGAGCTCATCGAGAACCTGGCCATAATGGAGACTAAATTCGAGGAAATCCAACGAGAATACGATGATCTGTCTAACCAGCTAATGGAGAGCGTTCAGGATGGCGACAGTCTGCGAGCTCAGTGCAATGCCCTGCAAGAGCAGCTCAAACAGCAACAGCAAATGTCGGCTGCAAATGCAACTGCTGCTGGTGCCGAGGCTGCTGAGAAGAAAACGGAACAATTGCTGGCACACATCGCTCAGCTGGAGAGTGAAGTGGCCGAGAAGAATATGCTGATTGATGCCACCGAGGGTACAATCAACGAGATGCGTGAACAGATGACAAATCTGGAATCGGCGCTGCTGGAGAAATCGGTGATCGTCAACAAAGTGGAGGACTATCAGCGACAAATCGAATCGCTCGAGAAACAGCATGCCGAAATGACCATGGTCTGTGAAGAGCTGCAAGAGAAGGTTAAGGAGAACACCCTCAACGAAAGCGAGAGCCAACTCATGTCCAGCAGCGGACAAACGCTGTTCAACAGCGACAGCAGCGGAACAGCAACGGAGACCGAGCTTGATCTGCTCACAGCCAAATTATCTGATCTGAAAACTGAATCTTATCAGCTGCAATTGCTGCTGAGCACCAAGGACGAACTGATCGAGAGAATACAGTCGGAACTGCAGGAGCTCAACGAACGCTGCATGAATATGGATGTGTTGCAGGTGGAACTCCAAGCGAACGCTCGTCAAAATCAACAGTTGCTCGAGCGACAGTCCGCCAAATTGGCGGACGATGCCGATCGCATTGATAAACTGCAGGAAACGAATGCACAGTTGCTGGAGCGCAGCATCAAGGCTGAAGAGACTGTGGATGCATTGAAACAGCGTCTTGAACTTGCAGCACAAGTTGCATGCTCTGCGGACGAATACGAGAAGCATCTCCACGAAATGCAAATCGCATCGGAGACGTCCCAAAAGGAGTTCGAATTGAGGGAGCAGCAGAATAAAGAAAAACTAGAGTCATCCAGGGAGGAATACGAGAAGCGTCTTAATGAAATGCAAGCTGCACTGGAGATGTCGCAAAAGGAATTTGAACTGAAGTGGCAAGAGAATGACAAAAAGATAAAGTGCTCCAAAGTGGATTACGAGAAGCGGTTGAGCGATATGAAAACTGCACTTGAGGCGAATCAAAAGCAGCATAAGGATGCGCTTGATAATGCTAAGCTGGAGTATTTGCAGAAGATCGAGGCCAGCGAGAGTCGGTTCCGTACGAATCTGCGCAAATCCAACATTGAATGGGAGCAGGACAAGGCTCGCTACGAGGCCAGTTTGGAACGATTGCAAAAACAATTGTCGCAGAGTGAGGAACAATTGGAGAAGCTCAGCGCTGATAGCTGCACAAAACTCTTGGACATTAAGGCGGCCAATGAGCTGGCAGTCGATCAATTGGTTAAAGAGAAACACGAGCTGGAATCAATGTACGATGAAAGCCAGAAGCTAGTGCAGAAGTTACAAAGTGAATTGAGCAGCAAGTGTCTGGAGGAGAAGCAAGATCAGGATGAAAAGTTGCAAGAGCTGCTCGACAAATACGAGAAGCAGATGCATGACTACGAACAGCTCAAGGCAGAGTATACACTTAGCCTGGACAACCTGAAGCTGGAGAAGAGCTCATTACAATTTGCCGTCGATGAGAGCAAATCGATAATAGAACGCTTGAACAACGAACTCCAAGCCGAGCACAACGATCAGCAACAGTTGACGAGTAGGTTGGAACAATTGGAGTCTGAGCTAGTAGCCAACGCTGCAGAGAAGGCCATATTTTTGGAGAAGGTGGAAACATTAAGTACCAAAATTGCTGGTCTAGTCGAGGAGGTTAAGCAAGCCGAATTGAAGGCAATCGATTTTGATAAGCTCCACAGCGAGCATGAAGAAACCATATGTCTTCTAAACGCAGCGAACGATCTCAGCAAGAATCTGGCGCAAAAAGTGAAGAATCTCGACAAAGAATTGATGCTGACTCACATTGAGGTTAAAACGCACAGCGCCAAAGTCGATCAACTGCAATCCGAATTGGAGGCAACGTTGCTTATGCAGAGCACTGCCAGTTCCGAGCAATCCAGCTTGACGAACAAGCTCAAGGAACTGAAGGCAACCCTATTTGAACAATCCAATCAATTTGAGCACAAATTGAAGGAGGTGCAGAGCTCGAAGAATGAACTGCAGTTGCAGCTGGACTCATTGCTCACTAATAAACTGGAGCTGGAGACAGCGAATCAGCAGCTGACAGTAAAACTGAAAAATGTCCTAAATATGCAGAGTGATTTGGACAAGGAGCGCGAAAGCAATGCCAAATTGCAGCGGTGCACAGTGCAGCTGCAGTCAAAGATTGACTCCAACGAGAAGATCTTGCAGCAACTGAAACTGGAAAATGCTCAGCTTGAGGAACGACTGACTTCAGTTACCACGGAAGCCAGTAAAAAGAGCTCAGAACTGGGCAACCGCATTGAAATCTTGCAAAAGGAAATCAATAAATTGCGCACTTTGCTGGTAAGTATTATATATATATATATATATATATATATATATATATATATAAATATATAGCATATATATTACATTTATTTATCATCAACATGGTTTGAACCTGATATTTTTACAAAGTGCTCTGAGGTGCGCGGCATAAAAAGTAAAAGAACAGAAGAAAGTTCTTGATATTATGTATTATATATTATATATATACATCTATTTATAATTTTCAGAAAACGAATAGAAGCAACTTTGATGCTGAGCGATTACGCCTGGATGGCACAATTTCTAGTCTATTGGACGACAAGCGCAACTTGGAGGAGAAAATCTGCACGACCGAAGAGATTCTCAAGAAGCTGGAGTCGGACTTGAGAGCTAAGGCCAATGGCAGCAATTTATCATTTGACTCAAATTCGTCGAGCACATCATCTGCACCCCGAAAGAGTTTGGATCGTGAGACTAATCATCCAAGGGTGAGTAATGAATGCCCAAAACCAAAAAAATATCGAATTTAAGCATTATATATGTATACATTTAACAGAAATCCATATCATCGGAGTCTGAGTTACGCAAAAATAGACGAATTAGCACACACGATGAATGGCGTCGTCAGTCGTATTGGAATGATTCGAGGCATGTGGCCTGCATGACGGATCCAGTCGGTGAGTTTAGAAACACAAAAACATTCAAGTTGCCTTGATAAATGTGTGTATTGAATGATAGATAAAAACTGCAACTGTGAGGAGCTTGATAGTAAGCTGAAGGATTGTCAACGCCAGCTTTTCATAGCTGAAAGCATCGTGACTACGCAGAATATGGAGTTGAAGAATCATCCGCTAAAAGAGGAAACAGCCACACTGAAGAAACGTCTCCAGGAGGAGCAGGCGAAGGCGCGCGATGAGATCAAACGCTTAAGGCAAAAGAATTTGGATCTGATGAGCAAGGTTAACGTTCAGGCAGCATCTGCAGCCATCTCGGCCAGCAGCAGCCAAGTGGCAACGACGACGGCTCAAGCCGGCAAGCAGTTGTCAACCGCAGAGACGCAAACGGAGTCCGATGTGGAGACGGCTTTACAGAAAATTACTGATAAGTTGAATGAAAGCTTGCGACTGTGTCGCATTCGTTATCACAAAATTAAGGATTTGGAGGATAAGTTAAAGCAAAATGAAAATGCCGACGCCTCCATTTCCCTCCAGACAACTGGCCAAATTAATGTACTTAAGGTCTGTGTGAAATATTAATTAATAATAAGTAATTCTCGCAGAATTATCACAATTCACTTTCTCTTTTCCAGTCCCAATTGGAGGTGCAGAAAAAAGACTTTGCTGCCCTAAACAATAAGTATGAGTACGCGAAACGGGCCCTCAAATTGCGCGGAGATGAGCTGGATAAACTCCGGAAAGTCGCTGACGCCGACCTGGCGGCACCCTCTAAATAAGTCATATATTGATAGTATTACAATTGTTGAGTTATCTTAAAATAATTTATGTTAAGTGTGCTTAGAGTTAAGGTTGTAATTAAAGAGCAGCCAAATTTGTGAGTGAGCGAGCAAGTAAATATTGTGTGGCATAGAAAATGTCGAAGATGTCGGCGGAAGAGTGAGTTATTGAAATTAATGCATAAAATATGTTTTCATAATTGTTGTTTTATATGTAATAAACGTTTTCGTTGGTTTACAACCTTAAAGTCAGTAATTAAATTTAAATTCAAATATATCGAACATATTTTTTTGTTGCCAAAATGCAGACATGCCTGATGGAAACACTGTAATCGAAGTGTTTCGATAAATGCGATAACGCGATTAAATCAATTGCAAGCTGAAGCGTTGCAGTGACAACTATCGGCCAAAAATCGCCTAACCACCACACTCATATTAAATCTTGTATTAAAAAAAAGTAATTCAGCTTAAGTAGGCCATGAATTCGGCAACAAAGGTATGTTAAAAGCAAAACGCATTTAACCGATTGCAACCCGTACGCGCCGCCGGATGGCAAAGAATGCCCCAATTGAGTTTTGTGCGGGAAAAGTGTGCGGCTGTGTGCGTCTCTGTCATATCGCCTCACTCCTTCGGGTGCGAATGGTAGCGAAATTTTGTGTTTGTGCTTCATTTTGGGGGCGGTGAGAGGGCGCGTTTGTTTTGAATTTGCACCGCATGCCAAACAACAGCAACAACAACAACTCAAAACAAAACAGCTGAAAATATAACACACAAATTATTATTCTTGCAGGTTGGTGAAATATTTACGGCAGCGGGTCAAGCGTTCAGCCGACTCGGTGATCTAACAATGCAATTGCATCCAAATGCCGAATCTCCGTCCGGGTAAGCAAGCTGGACAGATTTTAGCTTCTGTATATATGCATATATAGTGCTTAATTGTTAATTTTGCATGTTCCCTCGCTATGCACGGCACAGTAAATGGACAGACGAGGAAATCGACATGTTGCACTCGTCCATAATGCGCTTCTCCGACGATCTGAGCAAAATCAGTCTGAGCATCAAGAGTCGCACCGTGTAAGTCAGACAAAAAAAAAAAGAGAAAAACAGAAAAACATAGCGAGAGAACATGACACTTATTATTATTATATTTCAAATGCACTTCTTTCCCACTCTTGCAGCTCGCAAATACGACAGGCGCTTAAGAAGAAGGCATTTGAGGATGCGGGAATTCCGGCTAAACAGTTGCCCGTACAGCAGGTCCAGCATGTTATACAAACGGTGCAGCCAAACATACAACAACAACAACAAGTCTTCAAATCACACATCATACAACAACAACAACCGCAGCAGCAGCAGCCGCAAGCGAAGCAAATCATTTTGCAGCCACAGACAACGACGACAACGACGACAACAACAACGGTGACAATCAAACAATTTCAACAAATGCAACAACAGAAAGCAGTTGCATTGGCTGCAGCACAAGCAGCGGCAGCTGCTGCCGCCGTTTCCAATACGCCCACCATCACAGAGAATATAATCATACAGCAGCCAACATCGACGACGGCACAGCAGCAGCAACAAATTGTGGCGGCAACTTCGGCGACACAACAACAACAGCAATTGCCACAGATTTTGGTGCCGGCAACTGTTGCTGTTGTTGTTGGTGGAGAGGATGTTGTTAGCACCACATCGACGGCACAATTAAAATGTGGTCCGGATGTCTCGATGACCCTAAATCGTATCAATGTCCAGGAGAACGAAGTGGATGTCGAGGAATGTTTACCCGCTGAGGTTGTTAAACTCGATTTTGTCAGCGAAGAGGTGGCTGGATGAAGTCTGCTGATCGAGGATTTCTATTATTAGTTATAATACACATATATATATATATATATATATATATATATATATATATATATATATATATATATGCAGAATCACACGTATTTTATGGACCTGGCAAACACAGACTGGCCTGTTAATCCTGTTAAGAGTAAAGATCCCCAACATTTGTAATTTATATAAGAGATGAAAGTGAAAGAAAATACTGCCGCGTATCCAGGTCAGGTTTGTTTTACTTAAATAGAGAAAGTTGTAAAAATATATATATATACAAATATATATATATAGAGAGAGAGAGATATGTATTTAAAATGTTTTGCCGCGCCTAGTTCTAAATTTTAAGAAGAGATTCAATAGTGCAAAGTACATTACAAAATTCGTGTAAGTTGACAAATGAATAAACGAACCTAATTCTAAATTTGTTTTATTCAATTATAGAATAAGCAATATAATTTTACATTTGTATTCCAAATGAAATTTTGCTTGCTATTAGGAGCTGCATACCAGATTTACTGTAATTGTAACAGCTCTGCTCCTCTTGTTAACATAGCTGCTTCACAGAGTACAGTTTTCTGTTAAAGTGTTTACAGACCTACGCAAATGGCACTTATTGAAAACAAATCACAGAAAGTCTTCAGACGCATTACGAAAACAACGGAAAAAGATGAGGATAGGATGCTGGCTAATATTGTGCATGTTCTTTATGGGAACGCTGGCCTACAAGCCAGTTGTGATACTCCATGGCATACTGTCGGGTGCTGAATCTATGACGCTTTTGGTGCGGCACATCGAAAAGGTAAATGTGAAAACATTTCTTCTTTGTTATTGTTTGATGAGTTCAAAGTCAAAATCCGACAACGCAATAAATTGAATCCTGCATCTGTATTACGGTTACAGCTGCATCCGGGTACAGTTGTGTACAATTGCGATGAGTTTCCTGGCTGGTACAGCCTGGAAAATGCGTGGCGGCAAGTTGCACAAATCAGGGACTATATTGGTGAGATATATTTTGAGTATCATTTCACCATGGAGTAAATATCGCTAATATTCTATGTGTTTGTTGTGCTTTAGATCGAATTGGAAAACTGCATCCGGATGGATTTATTGTGTTGGGCTACTCGCAGGGCGGACTTCTGGCGAGGGCGGCTATACAAAGTTTACCCGATCACAAGGTCACGACCTTTATTTCGTTATCATCACCCCAAGCGGGTCAATACGGAAGTATGCCATATATACATATACATAAATATAGATAAATCAGGCACAAGTTCTACATAATTTATCTGTATTTTGCAGCTAGTTTCCTGCATTTAATATTTCCGGATCTGGCGGCAAAGACGGCCTTTGAGCTATTCTACTCGAGGGTGGGTCAATATACATCCGTCGGTGGCTACTGGAATGATCCGCATAAGCAATCGTTATATATGAATTATAGTGAATTCTTGCCGCTAATTAACAATGAAAAGATTAGCTCAAATTCAACATCATTCAAAATGGGAATGGTGCGACTTGATAAAGTGATCCTCATTGGTGGACCCGACGATGGTGTTATTACCCCCTGGCAATCCAGGTTAGTTATTTTTGATGTACCATAACGCATATTATATATAATATTATGATAATTGTATGTTATGTTTTTAGTCATTTTAGTTATTTTGACGACTCATTGGACGTGATACCGTTTTATGAGCGGGGGATTTACATAAATGACTCGATTGGTTTGAAAACCTTATTGGAGGCGGACAAATTGATAATAATTGTTAAGCCATCTGTGCACCATTTATCGTGGCATAGGAACAAGAAAGTTATTAACGAAGTAATAATGCCATATTTGGATTGAAACCAATTTAACCAGAGCGATTTAATAGGCTGTGATTGGAATGGTGACACATTCAATATATAGAACTGATAAGTACAATATATATGTATATATTGTGTGCAGCGATGCAAAACAAATGGTCTGGTTTAGTTCAAGTATTCACTATTTTTCGTTATAGCAAATATAGTTTAAACAATAAAATATCATTTGTATTGTCTTTCGCAAGATATTTTGAGTTTTAGACCACGGTAAGTGTTTCTACAATTGAGATTATAATTTAAATAAATTGTACAATAACTGATTAAATGTTTATTTGTTATTTTATGTTATCGCAAGTAAAGCATCGAAAACAAATTTAAATATTTCACTGACCAGGCGCCCGCAGTGTTGCCAGACCTTTTTCCAGTTAACTTTCCATGTATCGATAAGAGCAACAGCTGTTTTCTGATAAATCGATAAAAATTCTTTAATGTGTTGTGCCCGCGCAATATATTGTGAAATTCTTATGTGTGGAGTTGAACATTAATAACATAGCAGAAATGGCAGACATGACAGATACGGGTGAAAAGGATGCTGATAATATCATGCGTATTATGGTGGCGACCGATAATCATTTGGGATATGCGGAGAAGGACGCGATTCGTGGCGAGGACAGTTTCAGGGCATTCGAGGAAATATTGGAGCTGGCCGTGTCTGAAGATGTGGATATGATATTGCTAGGCGGTGATCTCTTTCACGACTCAGAACCTAGACAGAGTGCTACGCACAAGTGAGTATAATAGAATATCAATTTGAATACTAGATTCAATTATATTTCCCAGGTGCATCGAATTACTGAGGCGCTATACGTTTGGGGACAAACCGGTGTCCCTGGAGATATTGAGCGATCAGTCGGCTTGTTTTCACAACACAGTTAATCAGTCGGTGAACTACGAGGATCCCAATTTGAACATTGCCATACCAGTGTTCTCCATACACGGCAATCACGATGACCCAAGTGGCTTTGGACGCTTGAGCACCTTGGATCTGCTCAGCACAATGGGTCTGGTGAACTACTTTGGCCGCTGGACAGACCTAACGAAGCTGGAGATTAGTCCGATACTGTTACGCAAGGGCGAAACCCAATTGGCGTTGTATGGACTGAGTCACATTCACGATGCGCGTTTGGTGCGCATTTTCAAGGACTTCCAGGTGACCATCAATTGCCCCAAGGAGTCTGAGGAGGATTGGTTCCATCTGATGGTCGTGCATCAAAATCGCGCCGATCGTGGCCCCAAAAACTATCTGCCCGAAGAGCTGCTGCCGGCGTTTCTGCACTTGGTTATTTGGGGACACGAGCACGATTGCCGCATTGAACCCGAGGTGAATGCGGTGCGTGATTTTTACGTTTCGCAGCCGGGCTCGTCGGTGGCCACTTCGCTGGCCAAGGGGGAATCCATCAAAAAGCACGTTGGCATCCTGGAGATATACAAGACAAAGTTTAACCTCAAGCCAATACCGCTGCAAACGGTGCGTCCATTCGTATTCGATTCCATTGATTTGGATGAGTATGTCGATGAGCTGGATCTAGCATCTGGCGATGCGTCCACCAAGGTGCATGACTTCGCCCAAAAGCGAGTGGAAGCCATGCTTGAGGAGGCCAAAACGATGCTCACGGGCCACCTGAAGCAGCCGACGTTGCCGCTAATCCGACTGCGTCTGCGCTACACCGACGAGCAGCACATGTTCAACACGATTCGGTTTGGGCAACTGTTTGATACACGTGTTGCCAACGTGGCCGATGTTGTCAAGTTTGAGAAGCTGATCAAGCGCATGAAGACCGGTAAGATAAATGTGGACAAGGATGCTATGCAACGCGCCATGGTAAGCAAAACCACCTCTCCCAATGAATGAATACTAATTAATATTCAACTCTAATCCGAGGTGGATAATGTGGCTCGTGTGGAGGAATTGCTCGATCGCTACTTCGACGAAGTCAAGGATAAAAATCCGCTCAAACTGATGCATGCAAAGGCATTGTCCGAGGTCACCTATCGCATGGTCGAGCGTTCCGACCTTGATGCAGCTGAATCCGTTTTGCGGTACGATTCCGTCAAACAAGAAAATTAAAAAGTTACATTTATTTATTAATCTTACAGCTTTTACAATGAAAAGGCTGTGGAACATTTAATGGACACGCTGCCCGCTCTGGAGAATATCGATGATGAGCTGAACAATTTCAGGCTGCGCAACAAAGTCGACGATCTGCTCAAGTCATTAGATGCCTATACCTTAAAAACGGAGCCAAATGTCTCTGTTGTAAGTGCCATCGCAACTGATGTGAATTTGTCTGCGGCGCCTGCGACGGCTTCCAGACCCGCACGCGGTGCTGGTCGAGGACGTGGTTCGCGAGGCCGCGGCAAAGGCAGTGCAGCGGCAGCAAGAGCGCCAAGCACACGCGCTAAACCTCAATTGGATGTATCCGTTGCCAAGACCGTAAGCATCCTAAAGACATTTCCTTTTTATTTTTAAATTGACTCATAAATCCATTTTCAATTTCTTCGCAGGGTTCGTCGGCAGGTCCACAAGGACTTCTAGATGTCTCAAAAATCGGGCGCAGATCAAGAGCCCCAATCACCTACACTGTATCTGATGATTCGGATTAACTGTTAATTTATTATTCAGCTTATTATCATTCCATTAACTCTAGATAATATTTAATTTATATATTTGATACTAATAAACACGTGTTGTTTTCAACTTAAATCGTCTTTTTCTTAACTCTTATTAATAGCCTTGTTTCTTGCATCATGTCCCTCAAAAATCTTTCAGAATTTGGCTGAATTGAAAAAAGTAAAAATAGTATTCGCCTTGTCGCTATTACTCTGCCCTGCCATATGTATAAGAATACATTTGGAGAGAAAAATTTAAAAATAATATTTATCTTGGCCACTTAAAAAATTATGGGGCTCTCATATGGACCACAAATTGTCCTTAGCAACCCGATTCGAAAAATGCAAGAAAAGGGTCTAAGTCCTTCAAACAGCTGATATTAAAGATTTTTCAAAACGGAAAATTGCTTATAGCTCGGCCAAGGATATTCATATTTTTAGTACTCTTTCTCTTAGATGACTCCATAATCCTTGAATGCAGTAAGATAGAGTTAGTATTTGCGCTTCCAAGGCACCTTGTCTTTTAAAAATGTGTTGTAATTTAGCCAAGTTGGTGCTATATTTTTTTATCCAAGTGTTATTGTATCAGCCTGAAAGTATGCATTATTTTTATTTCCCAGGCAAGCATTTACACATTCAGCCTAGAAGTATGCTATAAAATTAATGTGGTGATTATATTTTTCATGCTTTCAGAAAATTTGCTTTTAATAAAAAAGCGTTGAGAACGCAAGCATTGGAAACTCCATGATTTATTTTTAACACTTAATACTTGTTTATTAGATGCAAATTGCACTTGAAAATAATTGTTCCTTAAGAGTATATTAAACTAGAACTTAATAGCTACGATACAAGTTAGCGCCTGTTGGTCGCCAAGGATTGTTACCTCGTTGCGTTCGGTTCGGCTTGGATTCTTTGGTAGTTTAGCTGTAACTGTGCATACATATACATATACACATATACACATATACATATGCAATGAAATCCTCCAATACACACAATACAATACACACGTACACACAACAACAAGCGAACATCTTGAACTTGAGCTCGCCTGCTCTTACTGCTGATGGTACTCGTAGTAGTAGCGATATGGATCCACCGATGGACTACCGCCGGCAGCTGTAACGCCCACGCCTCCGCCAGGATTTGTTTTCGAAACGGGCCTAATGACATACGTGTTGCGCCTGCAACATGTTTGGATGGGTGTTAAAGGATATCTGAGTGGACAGAGAGAGCGATTTGGACAGAGATAATTACCTGTTGTGGTCGCCGGCATGCACCTGAAAGCTGGACTCTTCGCTGTGGTCGTGCGAGAAGAGCTTCTTCAGCGCTATTATCCCGGCAATGGTTAACGCCACTTTGCTGATGACCAGTGCCTTGCCAGCTATAGCTGCCAGTGCCTTCAGACCCAATGGTCCGGCAATACCCATTGCCGTTAGCAGCGCCGCAATCACATATTTGATGTGGCCATCGTCCTTTTTCTTTTTCTTTTTGTCGCGACCGACACCATTGCCACGCACACCTGCACCCTCATCCAAATCCAAATCTATGTCAATCTTCATGGCATGCGTTCGCATCAGTTTGTCCACCTTGGAGAGCAGGGCACGATCGAGTGGCGTCAGGCTGCCAAATTGACGGGCATCGGTCAGGGCGCCGAGAACGCTTTCAGTGTCGCTCTGATTCTGCTTCTCCAGCACGAGACCATCAACGATTTTAATCGAGTCCTGGTCGAGAGCACGTGTCAAAGCATGCAGCGCCTTCTGTTTGAGACAACTGAGGAAATCGCTCTTGCCCTGGCAACCATCGTAGACGCGACGCGCCAGTGCCAGCTCTGGTCCCAATCCACCCCAATCTCCGCCAGCGGCTGCAGACGTTGGTGTTGGTGTCGCCTCGGCAAGGCTGTGGCGACGTCGCTGCTGCAGTTGGGCAGCAGCTGCCTCAACGCTGGCACTGGCAATGCTGGCGGCACACGTTGCCAGGAGCAGCAACCAATCGAGACGCGTCATTCCACTCGTCAAACTGATGCTATATTTCTATATATATATATATATATATTTATATCCCGGTGCAAGTCCAGTGGCAGAGCGGTTGCTGCCAAACGCTAGCGATCTTTGAATGGTACTCCAGCGAAATCGCTGCTCGCCCGTTGCTTTTATAAATTGCGATACATGGCCAGAGATACCATTGGGGAGCACTCAAATGGAAAGAATTGGCGTGTGCGTCAATCCGACGAGGGATGAGGAGGCTGCCACTGGTCTTGTGGCCAATTAACAATTTTTAGGCATCATTTTGTGTATGCGTTTTGATTAATTTTTTTTTTTTTGTTTAAGTAGAAGATTCGCCTTTTCTTGAATCGAGTTTATGACTCTGACATGGATTCGTTATTTGCTCAGCCATGGTTGTTGTTTGTGGAGATGATCATTCATGCCTCGGATCGTATTCGTGCTGCTGATGCACCGACTCAGCTGGGCATCATATATGCCATTTAAATAGTATTTAACATTATCTCTAATGATTACTCAGCGTCTGTCTAAATATCTGTATACAAAATACAATTTGTTCTGTTTAAAAATAATATTTCCGTTTTTTCACTCGGTAGGTTGTTGCAAATCTTAAATTCTGAAAAATTACATATTAAAAAAAAACATAAAATTTGTTGTTGATTCTCTAAAAAATTAACCACAAATTCATCAAATTTCATCTTAAATATTTATTTGAAATATTTGTTTCCATCACTACTTTAAAGTAAGTTAACTAGATAAATTCGCTACTTTGTCTTATTCCAATATTATGTTTTAATTATATTTTTGTCTGATTACAAATCATTTTTTCAATTGCACTCGCTAAATATATGTATAATAAGTCCGAAATGAGATTTATAGAACTAGCGTATAAGCCAATAAAATAGCCAGACAAGGCCATCAGCTGAGCTCTGCAAAACCATTAATCAAAACGGTAATTAATAATTAAAAATAAACGTATACTGCAAATCTCCATAGAGATAAAAACAACAACAACAAACAACAAACAACAACAACAACAGCCTTGAACATAATCCAATGCATTTTTATGATGCGTGCTAAAAAGTAATTAAGCTCCCATAGCGCTGGCCGTGGTCCCTTCTTGGATCGTTGCCATAGCAAAACTGTGAAGCATAATGTGAGGATGGATGGATAGAGGCTGATGGCGTTATGGAGCTCTGATGTGATGTGAGCTGGCTGCACATTTGGTGCACTGGCCCAGTGGGTGAAATTGAGTTAAATACAGTTAAGAAAATTTTCTTTTCGCTGCCACCTTGCGCAGCGACTGTAAAAATCATGCACGATAAATATCGCATGAGCGACATCCAATGCAATCGCAGCGAGGAGGGGAAAAGTATCAGTAACTTTGTATAAATGATGACAGTTGTTAATCTAATTTTGATTACAGTGAAACAAGTGTAAGCGACACTTTCGAGTGCTTCTCAGCTGATGCGATCCGATTCGATGCACACACTTATTGTTTTCACTTCATATTTATTAAATGCGAAAGAATCTAAACAATTCCTTTTTTCTTAACATTTTGCGAAAGCTAAGAAAAGTGTTTCAATATAAACAATAAATATATGGGAAAAATAAAAGTTTAATTTTCTAGAATTATCAACTCAATTCAAGTTTGTTGTTTTCTTACTAGTCATTTTCATCTTATATTAATAACCACAATTCCCTCGATTTTGTAGCTCTCAAGAATGAACCACTCCGTTGATCACCTCTCCTGTTTCTTACGGAAATTACTCTGAATTCGCCTATTCTTCAAAAACTGATGCTTATGTGACAAATGAATAAATTAATTGGAAATATATAATCAGTTAATTAGAATCATGTCATTATATCTATATCGATATGTATCGATATCTATATATGTATATATCTATAGCTATATCTATATCTATAGCTATATCTATATCCATTTCTATATATATAAATATTTATATTTGTATTTATATTTGCATTTATATATCTATATCTATATCTATATATACATCTATTTTTGTATATAAATTAATTTAATTAAATCTAAGATTATCCTTTATGGAGTGAACTCTTCAAAGAATGTCAATTTTATTTTTTTAGTATATTTTTTCCAGTCTTATTACTGTCAGGTGTCCATGTGTCAAGTTTTACTCAAAATCACAGCAAGTATTTGACAGAGCGACCTTCAAGCAAGCTAAATACACATGCTCTATTGTATGAACATATACCAATATATATATTTATATATATATATATATATATATATATATAAAATCATCTCATGGTCTTTTGGTCACCCACGCACACGAAATCCTGTGCTCAAGAGGGCGTAAATAATTTAATACATCAAGAAAATTGGAAATGAAAGTTTCTTTGTTTTGGCCGCTTGGCCGCAGATAACTTTTAGTTTCAATACTCGTAGATAGTCGCAAATGGCATGGGTCGTTGGAGGAGGCGGTGGGGGGATGGTTAGAGGGGCAGCAAAAACAATTGTGCGATTTATTTGTACATTTTACGAGTGTGTGTTTGTGTGTGTGTGGTTGGAGCTGCTATTTTTCTCGAGCTCTTATCGTCAATAATCATCATATGCTCAAATTTTTGGTCGCTTAATTGGAAAATTGTTGTTGTTTCTGTGGCTGCGTTGAGCATCGAGCATTGAGCATTACGCCTGAGCGATTGGGTGATTGGATGGCTGGATGATTGGATGATTGGTTGAGCTTCTGAGTGCGTTTGATTGATGAGTCTCCTCCTCAGACTGCGTCTCCGTCTTCGTCTTCAGCTCAGTCATTTGTTGCTTTTGGCCAGAACATGCTGAACGCACATCAATTTGTGGCATTGTTGTGATAATATTTGTTATGCCACAATTTGATTGGCATGCCATGAACAGAAAGAGAGAGAGAGACAGGGACACAGAGAGAGAGAGAGAGAGAGAGAGAGAGAGAGAGAGAGAGAGAGAGGGAATGTTCAAATCTAACTCGGAGTGGGTGGTGTGCTTGGGTGCAGCAGCACCACAATGCGATTGCGCAAAGGACACTGCCTCTGCCTTTGCTGAGGGTGGAATATTATTTTCATATTTCATCATATTTCATAATAGCGCTGGGCGTAAACCAACATTGCCGCAAATCTAAAATGGCGCCGCCGCCTTTAGAAAAGCTTCGGGGTTCAGCTCTTTGAAGTTAGTCGGCGTCGTGGGCTGGCGTGGGTGGCAGGTGACGGCCTTCAGCTGCAGCGCACTTCAGTGTGCACAATGTGGGAAAATGAAAATGGTTTATCAAAAGAAGTCGAAACCACAAAGAAAATCTCAGCGCTGGCTTACACATACATACATACATACTTAGATACATAGGTACATCAAATCATCAAGTCCTTCATGTGCCCGTATCTCGTATTAACTGCTTGCCCATGTTTGCACCTTTTCTTTCACTCTGCACTCAGCACTCTGCAGACAAAGACAACTGGCAACTGGTAACTGGCAACTGGCAACTGGCAACTGGCAACGGGCAACGGGCAACTGGCAACGTTGAATGCCGCAGACGACTTTGTTCTATCTCTTTAGCTCTTTGGCTCTGTTGACTGCGGTTCGGTTCGGTTCGCTGTCCCTCTCTCTCTCTCTCTCCCATTTAGAAATTTCCCATTTTCAACAAATACTACTTGGAAAAGTTTTCACATTTTAAATTTGTTGCCTTGCTTCTTGTGCTACGCTTTTTTCCTCTACTTTTGCTACGCATTTTCCCTTTTCTTGTGCTTAGAACTCGCCTCGTTTTTCTTATTCTGCACTGCTTTTGCAAACAGTTTAGTGTTGGGCTTAGTTCATCTTCCAATTCTCTACACTAGATAAGACTCTCTTTTGTTTATTTTGTTGTTTGATCAGAATATATACATCACATATGAAAATAAAGAGAATTTTAGAATAAGTAATTCGAAATTTATAATTTATTGTTGTTAGATGTAGATACATATTAAGATATATGAATTTAGATATAGATATAAATATATTCTATGCATTATCTATCTAATAAATATTAAGCTTTAAAATCAGGTCACAGGTTTAGGTTCGTTCTGATAAATAATACATTAAAACATGTACATAATACATCGGTTTAGTAGTTATTGTTGTCATAATATTCTCAAATTTGTAAGCAAATTTCAATTCAATTCAAGAAACTAAAGTAAATTTATGAGACTAATTTTCAATATATTAAATAAATTATGTTAATTTATAAGATTACTTTTATAAGACTTTTGTGGCTTCCTTCAATTTAATTTTTTATTAAAATATTTATTTTAAAGTTGTATTAGTATAAATAATGCTATAAATAAATATTTTAATATTTTTTTATTTTATAAGTTTTGGTTTGTATCATTAAATTAAAATAATATTTAGTGCATATTCTGAAGTTATTTTTTTAAAATACATATTTAAATAATATATCTATATTAAAATATATTTTGATGTAGAAAATAAATGTATTTAATTATTTTTTTTAAGGGTGTTCAATGGGAGTAGTGTTATCTAAAAATCCAAGTGTTACTTTTGGCAATTAAATGCTTAAATACCGCAATAATGAATACTCCAAGGTGTGTGTGTGTGTGTGTGTCTGTGTCTGTGTGGGTAGGACTTCAAAGATAGTTGTGCATTTTTATAAAGTTTTATTTTTTTTTTTTGCTGCCTTGAGCAACTGTGTCCACATACTGCAGCTCAAATATGGGCACCCATTTGAAGTTAGTTGCAGTTGAAGAAGTTTTGAAAGGCAACTGCGGTTGCCTTGCTAGAACAGAGGACAGGTGCCACATTTTGGGTACCATAAGCCATTATGGAAATAGGGGCAGGTTTGCATTTTGCAGTCTCAGCATGTACCCCATACTGCGCGGGTCTGGCATTGGGGTTGGAGAGGTGTGGGGGGGGGGGAGTGGTTGGCAACTGTGGGCGGGCAAAATAAATTGTTGCAAATGCAAACAGAAATATAATTTCTGTTGGCTGCCATACGGACGCA